GATTGTGAATATCATTTTCATTTTTTGGTGGGAAGATTTTGAAGCCTTAGAGAGAGTAAGCCACTTGCCTAGAGTCAGAGGCACAAGTACAGGTTCAAGCCAGATTTCAGACCCAGGCCTTACTGTTTCTAAGCCCATATTGTTGGTCACTTTAATGTATTATCTTCCATGGAATAAAACCAAAAATTTTCAAACCTTGAAATCTCTGTTCCAGTTCTAAAGTGTTTTTCCCTGGTACCCTCAGTCAAATATATCCTGATTTGTATTGTCTTGTAATAAGTTCATGCATCTTATTATCTTCCTGGCAACTAACTATAGTATTGGTAGTCATGTCATTTAGTAACTTGATTTGATCATCAGCCTAAACTTTCTTAAAAACAATTAAATGGAAAGTATCCTTGGATTTGAAGTAGAAAAGTCTAGCAGTTCAGTTTGGTCATCTGTAATCCCACTGTCCCAGATTCTAATGGGTTGTTTTGGATCTAGCTGAGGACACTGAACCATGTTGTCTCAATTTTAAATTATGAGCCTTTTTCCTTCGCTCACCAGTTAGCCAAAAGACAACCGTATTAGTGTTGACAGTAAAGATACATCTTTTATTTAGAGAGCAAAAAAATTCAGGCTCCAGGCAACTTGGCCTGGTGCTCTCTCATGTCTCCTGCCAATTGAAGACAGAAATTCATATTCAAACTAGCGTGTGTAAGTCATGCCCACTGGATGGGTTTGCAGTAGAGACCTGCCCCTGTATTCATTTTTCCTTTTGATGGACATAACAGACAGTTGCTCTGAGACTCCTGGTAATAGCAGCAATGGCATGGCTAAGATCTCAAAAGCCAAATACTGTCAGGTTGAAAAATAAAGAGGTGTTCAGTCATCTCAAGGACTCGAATAGCACAGTTCATAAACTAGTAAAAGGCTATCAAGAAAATTATCATTCTGAAATACTTGTATAAGGCCAGGATTTACTCTGAGGGATAGACAGTCTCCAGGAAAAAAATTGCATAAAAGAGAATACATTTTTCAGAATATGTTAACCTCAAAAGTCTTTAATAAATGAAGACTCACTTGTAGACACTGATTTTTTTTTTCCTTTTACTACTTTTTTAATCTTATTTTGACTTTTGTTTATAATTCATGTGTGTGTTTTTTCTCTTCCTGGCTTCCCATCTTCCTTAAACCATTTCATCTAGATCAGTGATTTTCACCTTTTTTGTCTCATGGCACACATAAACTACTAAAATTCTGTGTAGCACACCAAAAAAAAAAAAAAAAAAAAAAGTGATATTTCTTTGCCGATGTGACCAAAAACTTAGGTATGATTTTGACTCACTCATTCACACCAAGTGACTATTGTGTTGGCTGTTGTCATTTTTTAAATTTGACAATCTAAGGGAAAAGAGGTCAGTGCCCCTGACTAAATAAATAGTCAGGTGTTGAATGTTTTAAAAATTCTTGCAACATAACAGTTAAAAAATGCTGATCTAGATATATGTGGACCATCTGTCCTTCCAAAAGGCAGTCTTCTCTCAGCAAGGGGCAAGGGTGGGAACAAGAAGCACAATATGACAGAAAGCCAGGAAAAATCTTGCAGACAGTTTTTTGGCTCCTCTTCCCCGGCCCCCTGTGCCTGCCCTGCAGCTCCCTGGGGAACAACAGCTTGTATTCATTTGAGAGAGTGGCAGGCTGCGGAAGAGAAAATGCTAGCTTCTCCTGGACGCAGAAAAGCAATGCAGATGGCTAGTGGTGCCCTGTAAGGGGAGGGAGGGTTGCTGTGCCCTAGTGTCACATGGGATAGTCTCCTTCATTGCCGTTGCAGTGGAACATAAAGAGGCTTTCTCAGTGTTCAGCTACTTAGAATACAAACCAGTCATTTGAATTGCTTCCAAATATATAATTAGAAGCTTTCTGCATTGTGATAATTTTGTAATAGCATGTGGTTTTCCCCCAAAGACCCTCTATGACCTTGGGGATCACATACAGACTGTGCTCCAGGAATACACCCACAGGCTTATGGTACACACTTCATCTCGAGCCACCCTTGAAAATTTAGCCCTAATGAAGGTCCCTGAAGCTCCCTAGCCTTAGTGTAGTAAGTCCTCAGTTAATAAATGTTGAATGAATAGCACATTAGGTCATTTTTCATTAGCAGTTCTGCGGATAAAGAGAAAGAGCTCTCCCTGCCATCCCCAGCCATTTTGAAGACCTCAGAAATAAGGCTGTCTTTCCTCAAAAGAGCCTGAAAACCTAAAAGGAGAGGTGCTGCCCAAATCAAATTACAGAGGAGGTAAACTTTGCAGTGACCCCACTACATGGAGCTGAATTTTACAGTCTTTTTTTTTTTTTTTCATTGACTTTTTTTAGCGAGCGAGAGAGAGAGAGAGAGAGAGAGAGAGAGAGAGAGAGAGAGAACATTGATTTGTTGTTTCACTTAATTATGCATTCATTGGTTGATTTTTGTACATGCCCTAACTGGGGATTGAACCCATAACCTTGGTATATCGAGACAATGCAGTCTAAGTGAACTAACTGGCCAGGGCTGAATTTTATATTCTTTAAGCCCTTTCAGGTTCCAACTACATACATCAAAATAGTAACGACTAACCCTAAGAGAAAAAGACATGTCTGTGTTTTCAAAGAACACTAGTAAAAATGCTAACTTGAGTATGGCATTGTTATATGAACATCTCCACTGCAAATGGACTTTTCTGTCTTTGAAACATAATAGAGGTGCATGCTATGTCCCTTTGGAGAACAGAAGAATACAGGCCTTTATTTCCATAAGCCTTGAGCAAGCTGCTGCTGCTGCCGCTGTTAAAAACAAGAAACATTTCAACCTTGAATCTATCTTGTGGAATAAAGCTTAAAATGCATCTAATTCAGATATATGGGATTTCTCCTCAGCTGTGACATCTCCACGTAAGGGTGAAATGAGTGCCCTAAATTGGTAGAGCCCAGCCTGGAGGGCAGAATCGCAGCCTGGCTCCACTTACCTGAAGAGGCCCATACAAGACTCTGCATCTCCAACTTCTGCCCAGGAATCACATTTCACTAAAATCTGATTTAAACATTGTAGAAAGTATGCCCATTAGCAAAATTAGTCCTCCATTTTGCTTCAGGATGGTAAATTGAATCATAAATCAAACTTAAATTGAATCCTAAAAACTCTTGGTGGTGTCAAAAATTAATCAGAAGTGATGCTCTGACAAACTTGAAATATTGAGTGGCTGAGTTAAAAAAGAGACTTCCACTTAATATTGATGGTGTTGATTTCCTCGGAAATTGTTTTGCCTCTCACTTTAAATATGACTTAGCTCCCTGGTTGCATAAGTTTTGTATTGCTGCTTAGAAGGATGAAACAGTGTGATAGTGAGATACAGTCCTTGGTTCCAGACAGAACTCAGTTTGAATCCCACACCTTCATGTTGCCTCAGTTTTCTCGTCTGTAAATGGAGCTGATAATATCTGCTCCATAGGGTGTTATAATGACGAAATGAAAGAATATATGGGTAAAGAATCTGGTACATGCTCAGTAAATGGTTGCTATTGTTAAAATGCAGTTCTTGTATATTGCTCACTGACTGTCTCACTAGGGAGGAAATAAATGAAGGTGTCTATCAACTTACAAGCTAACTGAGGAATTGAGGACCAAAAGAGAATTTCACTTTTGACTATATACTTATCTCCCTACTAGATGGGGAAGTCCCTAAGCACAGAAACTGAATCATCTTTCCTTACCCCGCAAGGCTAACACAATGCTAGACAGCTAGCAGACACTTGGGAAATGTTTGAATGTTTGTTGATATGACCTTACTTAGCAATGTCTATGGCTGTGTATACATACCCTCTTATGAAAACAGGATTATGTCTCACCACATAGGAATCTGAAAGTTTCCTAGTAACTGTTATTTTCCAATAAATCCCTGGGGAAATTTTACCATCTTCAAATCATTTGATTTCTAGTTTGTTTCTGGGCCCATCTTTAGCCAGTATTATCTATGCATTTATAAATATCATTAACACTGCAGCTGACATTGAGATAACTTTCTGGTCTCTATTTTTATATTAAAATCTTAGTTTTGTGATATTACTTAGATTAGCTGGAGGTCCTTTATACTTAACCTTTCCAGCTGAATATTTAAATACATTTGATAAATGTTCAGTAGCTTTATGGTAAGTAAGCATGTCTAATTAAGATATTATATTCTATACATTTTTAAAATACATTTTATTGTTTTTTTACAGAGAGGAAGGGAGAGGGATAGATAGTTAGAAACATCATGAGAGAGAAACATCGATCAGCTGCCTCCTGCACACCTCCTACTGGGGATGTGCCTGCAACCAAGGTACATGCCCTTGACCGGAATCGAACCTGGGACCTTTCAATCAACAGGCCAATGCTCTATCCACTAAGCCAAACCAGTGAGGGCACTCTATACATTTCTTTTTCAGGTTCTATTGATGTCCTATCATTTGATTGCAATTTGTGGCAAAACTTGAAATTCTTAAAGGCCTAAATACAGATTGAAGAACTGATATGACTTTATATGTGTATAATAAATCAAATATATAATAATTATATTTTAAGTCTTCTCTGAGTAGCAAGGATATAGATGGACCAAAATTATTTATTACCAATGATATTACTCATGAATTAGAATAGAGTTTTAACATTGTTTTGATCTCTGCAAACATGCTTCTTAACCTGTAAGGTATTATATATATGAGATGCCACAGCAGCTGTGCTTTATCTATGAGGAAATTGAGGCTCAGAGTGGCTGGGTTACTCTCCTGATTACATAAATATTCAGTGGCAGAGTTGGAGAAGAAACCAGATCTTCTCTTTCTGATTAATTTTTTCAAATCTCAGTGAGAATTGTAGTTCAGAAATACAGTCCTGGCCATCAACTATTTCTGCCATCCAACACAGTTGATCATCCCACATTCCATATAAAAATACTTGCCATTTGATCCCAAGAACACTCTTTCTGTCTCCCTCTCAGTTTGAACGCCATGACCCTGTGGATGGGAGAATTACTGAGAGGCAGTTCGGTGGCATGCTGCTGGCCTACAGCGGGGTGCAGTCCAAGAAGCTGACTGCCATGCAGAAGCAGCTCAAGAAGCACTTCAAAGAGGGAAAGGTAGGTATCTTTGCCCAGAGGAAGAGAAAGAGCCAAATCATGGAAACATAGAGTGTCACGGACTAAAGGTTACACCAAATCGTCTCTAGCACCTGAAAAAATGAACAGCGGATGAGGAGAAAGGGAGAGTTCAGAATGACACTAGGTTTATTATTTGCACAAAGAGTGACACCATGAACTGAGATAGAATTTAAAAAGAGAGGCTGGTTTATAGAGAAGATGGAGTTCAGTTGTAGCTCTTTGAGTGTAAGATGCCTATAGACATCCAAGTAGAGCTGATTAGCAGGCAGTTGGATATTGAAATCTGTTTTAGAGGATGAGACAGATTTGGGAATATCAATCCGATAGAATAAAAGAGGAATATGCTAATTATCCGTTATGCGAGAGGCGTAATGACCAGATCATGGATCTGCAAGAGGGTGAGGCAGCAAACTACAAGTGGGTGGCAGAGAGCTACAGGAGGGGGCATGGCAGCAAGCTATGAGGGGGGACAGGGGGAGCTACAGGAGGGGCAGGGCACCAAGCTATGAGGGGGGACAGGGGGAGCTACAGGAGGGGCAGGGCACCAAGCTATGCGGTGGGGCAGCGAGCGGAGAGCTACCTGAGGGCGGCAGCGACCATCTGGTGCAGGGCTACTAGTACACAATAAGAGAGCAAGGAGAACAGATGAGATTACCTACGTATAATATGGAAAAGAACTGTGGGCCAAGAACAAAGTCCAGTGGAATACTAACATTTAAGTAGCTCAGGAAGGAAATATTGAGGAAATATTTAGAGAAAGTAATTAAATCAAAGCCAAGGAAATAGAGGATTCAAGAACTGAGTGGTCTACAGTGTTACATGTGATGGGGATGGCCCAGTAATATAAGGTGATAAACATCCACTGGGCCCAGCCAGTGTGGTTCAGTGGTTGAGCATCAACCCATGCATCAAGAGGTCCCGGTCAGGGCACGTGCCTGGGTTGTGGACTCCCACCGGGGATCATGTAGGAGGTAGCTGATCACTGTTTCTTTCTCTTTCTCCCTCCCCTTCTCTCTAAAACAAATAACATATTTTTTTAAAAATCCATTGGTTTTGGTAAAATAATAAAAAAAAATTTTGGTAAAATAAATAGTGACCTTTGGAAGACCTGTTTCATTAGAGTGGTCAGTTAGAGGACATATTAGATGAGAAGTTAAGAAGTAGAGAAAGAGAAGAAGGAAAGGAAGAAGAGGGGAATGGAAGCTCCTAAAAGGAAATAGCATATGTTATCAAAACTCTCTGGCAAAACAGAAGTCTGCTTGGGCTGCTATAACAGAATACCACAGACTAGGTGGCTTAAACAACAGAAATTAACTTTTCTCACAGTCGAGGCTAGAAGTCCATGATTAAGATGCTGGAAAATTGGGTTTCTTATGAGGGCTTTTTCCTGGCCTGTAGACACTTCTTCCTGCTGTGTCCTCACACGGCCTTTCCCTGGTGTTTGCACAGAGAGGCAAGGAGCAGCCGAGTGCTCACACTAGCTCTCTGAGTGTCTTATGAGAACACTAATCATTTCAGACCAGGGCTCCACTCCTAGGACCTTACTTAACCTTAATTATTTACTCAGAGGCCCATCTTCTGATAAAACCACACTGAGGAGTAGGGCTTCAATGTATAAGATTGAGGGGGATACAAACATTCATTCCATAACAGAAAGGAGAGGCAAATCTGGCATGGTAAGGAACTGGAGAGGACTGCTGTGATTGGAAGCTACTAGCCAGGAGAATGGACTGCAGTGCAGTCAGAGAGGGGGATGAGGGCCAGAACATGCCGGACCTCACAGGCATGGGATGAGTTTGGATTTTATTCGCAGTGCAATGGGAAGCTATTAAAAGGTTGTGAGCAGTGAAATGGTACGGTTGTATGTATATTTAAAGAGATGATTCTGTCTGATTTATGAAAAATAGTTTGGAAGGAAGCAAGTATAGAAGCAAAAAGACTGATACTAAGATTATTAGAGAATTCAGGAAGAGATGTTTGAGCATCTTTTGAGCAGCATTGAGATTGGAGACCAGGGGTTTCTAGTGGCACTCATCAGCCCCACTCTACTGCCTCTCAACACTGGCTCCACCTAGAACCAGAAGAGGCAGATGGTAGAACTGAGTCAGCATCTGGGGATTTATTTGCCAGGGAGTGGGAAGGACACGTTGAAGCAGAAATTAGTTAAGAGGTCAGACCTCTTAAAGACCTCAGACACACACGAAGAGCAATGCCAGCAAACCCATGTCTTCTCATTCTCAGCCCAGTGCTCATTTCACTGGACAATGATTACCAATTTGTCCATCACCAGGAAGCTGACCTAGCACTAAAAATGTCCCATGAGAGATTGCCAAGGTAGTGCAGTATGGGAGACATGGAGCTAGAAGACTTGAATTCAGGCTCTACCTCAGAGGTTTCCGTGGCCATTAGACAAATTGTTTAACCTCATTGGCCTCATGAACTGAGAAGCTTGTCCTAGATGTGCATTATAAGGGCACTGTAGCTTTAAGGCTGAATAACTGAAAATAAATAGGATGGATAATACTATACTTATCTGATTTCTTAGTAATAACTAAGAAATCAGGAAATCTTGCATGAATAGCATTGCCCCAACTTGGTGGAAAGCAATTCTCATCAGCCTGACTTTTTCCTCCTTGTCTTGGATGGCAGAAAGCTGAAAGGACCTCTGACCAGGCTGAGAGCTGCAACCAGGAGCAGCTGGGCTCCGAGAGAAAGTGTCAGCCTCTCTGAATTCAGTCCAGCCTGTCCCTAGAGCAGGTGTTCCCTTAGCTGCAGGGAAAGACTCATCATTAATGGAAAGTGACAGGTGACAGTACATATACCACTCAGATCTGCTGGAAATTAAAATTTCAGAAAATTGATTGCAAATGTTTAGGTGGATTTTTTGTGCTGGTCCTGGAAGCATGGTGTTTGCATTAGGAAACACTCCTTTCTTTTCACCAGACTCATTTTGAAGTTTGTTCAGACATTGCCTTGGCCTTCTAATTATCTATCAGGATAAGCTAATTCATGTTTTATTATAAATTTATATTTAAGAACAATAAATTGGGTGCTGGAGACATCTCCCTTGAAGGAATGGAGGATTCAGCTTTGGCAGGATAGTTCATTTAGGACCTGAAGACCTTTCAAAAGTGCTCTGAAGTGAGAGGACACATTTTATGAGGTGGTAAAAATTTGGGGTGCCAAATTACTTCTGGCCCAGAATTCCACCTGCTTTAGCAAGAATGAGATCTAAGGTCCTTTCATGTTGAGAACATAGTACAATAATAGGTAAAATGAGAGTGAATGAAGGACCTTTGCTCCTGCAGTGAGCAGTCCATCTCTCTGGGACCATTTCCCATTAGAGGGGAATCACTATCTTTTCTAATTGCCTTTTTATTTTACTTTAGATACATTGTTAGCATGACAATGTGAGTTTTCATTTGGCTCATGTTGATTTTTGTGTGCGGGTAGTTCTGTACAGAATATCAAACCAGACCTAAAAGATTGAAGGTCCTAGTGGTGTGTTAGATAAATGTCTGTATAACACTGCCTGACCATGCAGTGCTTCACAGCCATTTTTCTTTTTCTGTGTTCCTAGCAGCCTTGGTAGCTCTCATTTTGCCTTTGAAAATATAGAAACCTAGAGGAAGAGAAATTGATGACCTGCCCAGAGTCAACTGGAAACCAACACTTCCTATTCCAGATCCGTGGCAGCTCTACTTCTCCATACTCTTCCTAAGGCAATGCTTCCCCACCCTGGTTGCCCAGTAGGGTCACTTGGGGAGTTTTTAAGAAATGTGATTTTTGAGGCCCGTTTCAAACCAGTTAAATCAGAAGCTCAGTGGTTGGGTCCAGGAATCAGAGTTTCTTAAAAGGGTTCTCAGGTGATTCTGAAATGAAATCTGATGAAGCATGGCCACGGCTCTGGAGGAGCCATGCTCCATCGGTGGCTCTCGCTGTTTTGTCCCTGAGCAACAGCCTGAAGAATTGGGAGCCTGCCTCTCCTGGGAAATTTACTGTGTTCATACCCCGAGTAACCTCTGTGCTTCTTATTTAACAGAGTTTTCTTTTCTATAATATTTTTAATGGGAGAACATGTTTTGTTTGGGTTTTATTTTAAAGACTAATCCCTATCCTCTACTAGGTTTTCCCTATTCCGCTCAATATTCTTTTTCCTGTGAATGCTTCTAGGCCAAATCTGACAGCTCTAAAATTTCCTTTTTGTCCTCTAACTTGTTGTATTCTCCTCATTAAAAAACAGCTTCTGAGACTTCATAAATTTGGTTTTTCTATGCTCAAGAATGCAGAAGCTGCAAACTTTAATAATTTAGTAAATTGCCCTGGCCAGTGTGAGTCCGTTGATTGAGCATTGTCCCATGCACTAAAGGATCACCAGTTCGATTCCTAGTCAGGGCACATACCCAAGCTGCGGGCTCGATCCCCCATTGGGGGGTGGGGGGGTACAAAACCAATCAATGTTTCTCTCTCTCCTTCTCCCTTCCTGTCTCTCTCTTCTAAAAAAAAAACCAAACAAACAAAAAAAAAAACACCCACAATAAAAATGTGTTTTTAAAAAAGACCTACTCTCTTTTAGAAACACAGGCCTGTGCCCGACTAGGAACCAAACCAGATGAAAGCCTGGCTTCTGGCTGAGTAGTGCTCTCTCTCTGGGAGCGCACTGACCACCAGGGAGCAGCTCCTGCATTGAGTGGGCTTGGTCTGACATCCCCCAAGGGTCCCAGATTACAAGAGTGCACAGGCCAAGCCCTCCCCACTGGTGCACAATCAGGGTCGGAGAGGTTCGCAGGAGATTGGCCAGCCGGGGAGGGACCCCAGGAAGGCTCCAGGGCGTGTCTGGCCTATCTCAGTACAGAATGGCCACACCCCAGCAGCAAGCTAACCTACCAGTTGACTGCCCCCTGGTGGTCAGTGCACGTCATAGTGAGCTATGGGTGGCCTTAGGATATAATTAGCATATTATGCTTTGATTGGTTGAATGGAAGACCAGATGACCAGACACTTAGCATATTAGGCTTTTATTATATAGGATTATAATAAAACTTAAATTATTAATTTCATGCTATCTGTGGATAATATTCACATGGGCTCTCCTATTCATTTATTCTTTTTTTATAATATTTTATTGATTTTTATTTTTACAGAGAGCAAGGGAAAAGGGATAGAGAGTTAAAAGCATTAATGAGAGAGAAACATCAATTAGCTGCCTTCTGCACACCCCCTAGATGTGCCCACAACCAAGGTTCATGTCCTTGACCGGAATCAAACCTGAGACCCTTCAGTCCGGTAGACCAATGCTCTATCCACTAAACCAAACCAGTTAGGGCAAATATTCACTTATTCTTGCAAGGTGTTTGAGGGTTGAGCCACATGTGGTTATCAAATTCTAGAAACTATTGCTTGCAAAGCCCTTCAAGAAACACCTCAGGTGATGGATTAATTAATTCCTGGCAGATGAATTTGCCATGACCAGTTAAAAGACAAGGCAAAGGAATCCATCCGTTACAGTGTGTTTATACTCATCTGTGGCCTATCAGCACTAAATATGTGACTTTATAGCTGATTCCAGATGAAGTCAAATTTTCCTTACCCAGCTTCTCATCTATTACAACTACTTTTTATTTCTTTAAAAGCTTTATTGATGTACAATTTATACACCAAAAAATTTAACCCATTTTAAGTGTACAGTTCAATGATTTGTAGTAAACGTACAGATATATGCAATCATCACTGAAAAGTTTTAGAACATTCCCATCGCTCCAAAAATATCTCTCATGCCAGTCAATCCCTATTTGCACTCTAGCCACTGATAACCATAAATTCTTTTTTTATCTCTATAGATTTGACTTTTCTGGACATTTCATATAAATGTTTTCATATAATAATGTAGTCTTTTGTGTCTGGTTTCTTTTACTTACATTTTTTAGGTTTATTCATGTTGTTGCTTATATTAATAGTTGGTTACTTTTTTTATTGCTGAATAATAAAAAACATTCTATTGTATGTATACTAGTATACTGCACTTTGTTCATTCATTCACCAGTTTATGAACATTTAAATTGTTTCTAGTTTGGGGCTATTATAAGTAATACCTCTATGAACGTTTGCATACAAGTCTTTATGCAAACCTGTGTTTTTATTTCTCTTAAGGAGATTCCTAGGAGTGGAATGGTGGGTTGTATGGTAAAATTATATTTAACTTTTTTTTTTAAGAAATTGTCAAACTGTTGTTCAAAGTAGCTGTACCATGTTACATTTCACAGCAATGTGTGAGAGTTCCAGTTTTTCCACATCCTCACAAAAAGTTGTTACTGTCTTTTTTTTAAAAGATTTTCTTTTTTTATTAATTGATTTTTAGAGAGAGAGAGAAAGAAACATCAATTTGTTGTTCCACTTATGGATGCATTCATTGATTGATTCTTGTATGTGCCCTGACCCGGGATCAAACCTGAAACCTTGGCATATCAGGATGATGCTCTGATCAACCGAGCTACCTTGCCAGGGCCATTACTGTCTTTTTAATGGATGTGTGGTGGTGTCTCATTGTGTTTTAATTTGCATTTCCCTAATGACTGATGATTCTGAACATCATTTCATGTGTTTATTAGACATTCATATATCTTTTTGGTAAGAAGTCTATTCAAATCTTTTTTTTTAATTGGGTTATTATTACCATCTCATTGGGTTGTAACAGTACTTTACATAATTCTGGATACACGTCCTTTATCAGATATATGATTTTGAAATATTTTCTCCTAGTCTATGATTTGTCTCTTTTCTCAGTATTTTAAATCACAATGTTTTTTGGTTGTTGTTGTTGTTGTTGTGATTGTTGTTTTAATACGTTTTTATTGATTTCACAGAGAGGAAGGGAGAGGGAGAGAGAGATAGAAACATCAATAATAATGTCCCCTACTGGGGATTGAGCCCAAAACCCAGGCTTATGCCCTGACTGTGAGTCAAACCATGCCCTCCTGGTTATGGGTCGATACTCAACCACTGAGCAACACCAGCCAGGCAGGCGAATCACTTTCAGCATTCAGTCCAGGGGTGTCTTTCAGGCAGCATGCAGTATCTTTGCTTGTTCACATGTCACTGCCTCCCAAATGACTGTCACTGGCTGACTGCTTTCTGTTTATCCAAATCAACAATTTTCTACCTCTTTAATTGTCTGTAATCATTGTTTCTTTCACACCCTTAGCAACCTTAGCACTCTTGTTTTAAAATTGTGCTAATGGTTGATTTTGCCAGCAATAAAAGCATCTGTCCTTTGTTGCATGAGAGATGCTTTTTGTCATACTGAGGTATTAGCTTAAAGGGGTGTCAGACATTTGTTCTGTGAATAACTTGGCTGATAACCAAGTTATTTTCTAAATTATCAAATGAATAGTCACTCAATTCACATTGTTCTAGCTGTCTGTCCTCAAATGATCCTCAGCATAAGCACTCTGGCCGTAGTTGTATTTTTTCATGATAAGTAAATTAACAAACATTAAAGGTTGTCAGAGTAGGGAGCATTTTCACTGCCATGCCTTTTCTGCTCTTAGAATTTTATGTTAACCTATTGGCCTTATAAAACCCTTTCAGTAACTCAGGTCCCTATTGTCCCCCTGCCATAGAAATCCACACTGTAATAAGAAAAGTAAAAAAGCTTTAGCAAGCCTTTTTTAAAATATACATAGCAAAATTTACCAGTAAGTGTTTAATTCGGTGGCATTAAGTACATTCACACTGTTGTACAGCCATCACCACCATCCATCTCCAGAACTCTCATCTTCTCAGACTGAAACTCTGTACTCATCTACAATAATAAAAGTGTAATATGCTAATTAGACCGGACAGCCAAACGACCTTCCAGACGACCTTCCTTCCAGACAAAACCTGTGGCTGAGAGGACCAAGCCCCTTACACAAACTGGTTGGCGATTGCTGCTCTAAATCAAGGCCAAGAAAATGTCCTCAAGTTATGGGAAAATTATTTAGTGTTGGCCTTCCATTTCACTGCCAAGTATTACAGAGCTTGGTACATAGTAGGTAGTTCATACATGTTTGAATTAATGCTTAAATACAGAGGCACTATTCTTCATAATTGCCCAAAACTAGAAACAGCCCAAATAGAATGGATAAATAAATTGTGGTATATTTACACAATGGAATGGTTATAGCAATAAAAATTAATGAACTACATATGTACACAAAAATATGGACAAATCTTAAAGAGAAAAACCATATGTTGTTTGGTCACGTGCCGCTAAACAACAGGGATATGTTCTGAGAAATAAGTAGTTAGACGATTCATCATGTGCGAACATTATAGAGCGTACTTACACAGACTTATAGCCTACTGCACAGCTAGGCGATATGGTACATAGTCTGTTGCTCCTAGCCTAAACTGTTATGTACTGAATACTGTAGGTAATTGTAGTACAATGGTAAGTATTTGTGTGTCAAAATATATCTGATCACAGAAACACATAGTATGTGCTATGCTATGCTTTCATACAACTGACAGCTGGCAGCCCAGTAGGTTTGTTTACACCAGCATCACCACAAACATGTAATGCATAGCACTATGATGTTACCAAGGCTAATGGGATAGGAATTTTTCGGCTCCATTGTAATGTTATGGGGCCATTGTCACATATGCAGTCACTTTTTTTTTTTAAGACAATGAAATGTAGCCACTAAAAACCAGAAAAGTAATTATCGCTAAGAAGAGAAGAGGCTTATGGTTGGGAAGGGCCATGTTGGTGAGACAGAGGGAGGCTCCGTCTGGGATGCCAATAGGAATCTGTTTCTTGACCTGAATGGAGGTTTTATGGATGTTCATTTTACATCGTTGTAAAGTTGTACATTTTTTTCTGGGCCTTTTTTTTTTTTTTCATGCATCAGGCCTTTAGTAAACTATAAAAGATAATGTGATATAATTATACATTCAGTAATTTAGTTCTTATTTTGATTGATAAAATAAGAAAGATAACATTGACCCAGTTTAGAGAATACCAGGGAAGTACTATGGATTGTCTGTCTTAAGGTTTCCTTATTACTGAGATAACACTGTGGATTCCTGGCCTCTGTGTTTTGGAGAAATGGAAATTGGAAGAGCAGCAGTACTAACATTTGCAATCCATTAAGGACCTGATTTTTCATTAAAAGGCGTTGATCTCAGTGTCTCTTCAGTGTTATTTACTGCTTAGAAATTGAATTCATTCCATCACAGCATGATGTGTGAGAAGTGGGAAATGGCTAATAGGACTAATCTTCCTCCCTGGGTGGGAATTCCCTGTAGCTCCTATTTATGTAACTGCTCTCTCTTGAGCTTTCATAGAAATAGAATTTGAGATCATCAAACCTTTGACTAGCTTTTAAAAAGAATTTCTTCATTCACAGGATTTCATCAGATTAAAATTAAATGGCTAATTGCTTTATCCGTAGGTTTTAAATTGAGATATTGAGCAGCTTCCCAAGTCCTTGGGTTCTATTATACATTCTGAAACTGTTCCAATGTAAATCACTGATTTTGGATGATTCTTTAATTAGCTTAAACTTCAAAGAGCTTAGTTAGCCCTAACTGGTTTGGCTCTGTGGATAGAGCGTCAGCCTGTGGACTGAAAGGTCCCAGGTTCGATTCTGGTCAATAGCATGTACCTTGGTTGCAGGCACATCCCCAGTAGGGGGTGTGCAGGAGGCAGCTGATCGATGTTTCTCTCTCACCTATGTTTCTAATTCTCTATACCTCTCCCTTCCTCTCTGTAAAAAATCAATAAAAAATATATTTTTAAAAAGAGCTTAGTTAGCCTGTAAGTAGATTATTTAAATTGAAATCCTGACTCTGGTCTTACTTGTTAAGCTGAATGACAGGTCAAATGGCTACAGCTCATTTAGGAATATCAATATAGATAATTGTGACTAATTGCAAGGCACAGTTTGAAATATTTTTGTTAAAGATATCCAGCCTCCACTGTAACAGTGAAAGCAATCATGTCATATTTTACATGTGAGAGGGAAGCAATTAGCCAGCTTTCCTTTCACGGAGTAAAATTCTAGAGTTCTGTTCCCCGATTGTGTACAAATTTGACATTCCTTGACTAATTTATTCAGTCTCTCTTCTAGACATAGTATAAATTTCTGGTTGATAGACATGAATAACAGCCTAGTTTCTGCATTTTATGCAGCTTTTTGTTCGAGGTTCCTGCCTTACTCTGCTCTCTCTCTTTTTCAGGGCCTGACATTTCAGGAAGTGGAGAACTTCTTTACTTTCCTAAAGAATATTAATGATGTGGACACTGCGTTGAGCTTTTACCACATGGCTGGGGCATCTCTTGATAAAGGTAATGAAACTCAAAAGTTTTTCTTTCTGTATTGTTGACATCATATCCCTGAGTTTCACCTTGAGGGGCCAAGCTCAGAAAATACATTTTCTTGTGCTAAAGACTAAAGTCAGGGCAGTATAGGGAGATAAATGGTGATGGAAGGAGACCTGACTTGAGGTGGTGAACACACAATACAGCGTACAGATGATGTGTTGTGGAATTGTGCACCTGAAACCTGTATAATTTTGTGAACCAGTGTCACCCCAATAGATTCAGTAAAAATAGGGTGGAGTGAGTTACATTTTTAAAAAATTATAGTCAAGACAGGTACCCATCTTTAAATGATTAGCCTTAGAAATAGTCATCTAAGCTGAGGTACAGTGCATGAAGCTTCTGAACTTCTCCATCAGAGCCAGAGATTACATATATAAGGTGAAGCAAAATCATTCTTCTTTTTAATTCATTCTCTGGTGAGAAGGAATGGCTTGGTTTATGTCTTGTATTAAAGTTTGTTGGGTGTTTTTTGTTTTGTTTTGTTTTTATTAAGGTAAAATTATTACTCTGAAAATAGCACCCCCTATGGGCTTTATACAAATTCAGTTCCAGTTTGTACTGGCAGTGAGAGAGAGCTAGGGGAATTGAAAACACAATTTTCCTCCAATATTTTATTATGAAAATGTTCAGACATTTAGAAAATTTGAAATAATTAACCAAAGAACATCCATATATATGATTCAATTAACATTTTTCTGTATTTCCCTGATAGTCCTCTATCAATCTTTAAATTAATTAATTTATTTATTTTGGTGCATTCAAAGTAAGTTACAGACTTAAGCACATTCTTTCCTGAATACTTCATAAATACTAACTGAAGTTCAGTATTTGTTTAAAGTTCCTTTGTGCTCCTTCAGCGTCAATTCTGCCTCCACTCACCAATAAGCAACCTTAATTCTGTGCATTTAGTTTATTTTGTTTGTTCTAAAACCTCATAAAAATGGAATTGTAGTGTACACTCTTTAAAGTTTTTCTTAGCCTATTTTTTGAGATTCTTTTATATTGTTGCATGTACAATAGTTTGTTCCTTTTTTTATAATTAGTAATCTATTTTATGAATACTCCACAATTTACCTTTTGTTGGACACATTGGCTGTTTCCAGTTATTGGCTATCTTGAATAAAGCTGCTATAAACAGTCTTCTGTTAGTTTTTATGAGCATATGTATTTTCATTTCGCTTGGGTAAATACCTAAGGAGAGAATTGTTGGATCCAAGGGAAGTGAATATTTCTTTATTAAAAAACTATCAGACTTTTTTTCACGGCGTATCTGTTTACAGTCTCGCCAGTAATGTGCAGCAGTTCAACTTGTTCCACGTTCTTAATAATTGGTTAACAACAGTCTTTTCTAATTTAAGTGATTTTCGAGTTTATATAAAGGTGTCTTGTTGTATTTTTAATTTGTATTTCCCTGATGACTTCTACTGTTAAGCAACTTTTTGTGTTAGTATTCATATTTTATTTTATTTTTTATTTTTTTTGGTGAAGTGTCTGTTAAAATCTCTTGCCCATTTTTATTGGGTTACTTTCTTATTATTGAATCTTGGAAGATCTTGATATATTTTAGATGCAAATCCTATATTAGATATATATTTTGTGAATATTTTTCTAGCCTGTGGCTTGCCTATTCACTTTTTGAATGGTGTATTTTGATTAACAGAAGTTTGTTTTTTTATTTTGATAAAGTGTAATTCATCCAGTTTAATTTTTTTATTATTATTTTCTGGTCCTGACAACCCTTTACCACCAAACTATGAAGATTCTCCTATATTTTTCTCCTAGAAGCATTAGTGTTTTTAATTATTATATTTTATATATGATCCATCTCTAATTTCTATATACTGTGTGAAGTAGGAGTCAAGATTTTTTTTTACATAGATATCCAACTGTACCAGCACCATTTGTCAAAACGGCCCTCCATCTGTTTGTTTTGGCACCTTTATCAAAAATCAAATGACCTTTTAACTATAAATCTATTTCAGAGCTCTCTACTTATCTATATGTCTTTCTTTATGCCCAGCCTCACTGTCTTGATTACTGTAGCTTTATAGAAAGTCTTAAAGCAGTAGAAGGTATTATAAATCCTCCCAACTTGATTCTTCTTTTTCAGGTTTACTTTACATATTTTAGTTTCTTTGTATATCCATATAAATATTAGAATTAGCTTGTCACTTTCTGTGTAAAAAAAGAGGTGGGACTTGTGATTACAATAACATTTAACATATAGAGTAATTTGGAGTGAACTGATATCTTAGTGATCATGAGTCTTCCTTCATGAGCATGTTCTATCCATTATTTTAGGTCTTCTCTCAGCAGTAGTTTTTTAAATACACAAGTCTTGCACATATTTTTTAAACATAAATATTTTATGTTTTAATGCTGTTATAAATGGAATTTTGACTTCATTTCCTAACTGTTTGCTACTGCTATTAAAATACAATTGATTTTTCTATATTGAGCTTGTATTCTATAGCTTGCTAAATTTGATTATTCTTCTAGTTGTTTTGTGAATTCCTTAGGTTTTTCTATGTAAGAAATCATGTCATCTGCAAACAGTTTCACCTCTCTTCTTTGTATATTAATGCCTTCTTTTCTTGCCTTATTGTACGTGCTTCAATCACCAGTAAAATGTTAAATACAAGTGGTGCAGTGAGTGGTTATCCTTGGCTTATGGCTGATTTTAGATATAAAGCATTCAATATGTCACCTTTAAGTTGGATATTAGATTAAATCGTTTGAAAATTAACACCAGTAGTGTTGATTCAGCATCTAGAAGGGTTCAGGAAACCTCAAGAAGGGGCTGTGTGTAAATTAAATAAGAGTCCAGAGACGAAACATAATTTTGAAAAGCATTTGAGGAGCCTGGCTAAAGAAACCAAGTTCTCCTTGTCTCAGAACCCCTTGCTTTTTACTAACACAATTTGTCCTAAGGCAAGGTGGAAAATATACACATCTAAGGGTAGGGTTAGGTACAGAATCCATTGTCAGAATAGGGAATTGCCTAAGGCCGTTCAGGTTTTTGGCTAGTAGGAGGTAATAACATGTAGATTAAGATGCCCTGAGCTGTCTGGCAGCAAGCAATCATCCTTTTCAGGTTTGGGGAAATGCCTTTAGCCATTCCCAGAAAGCAATAACATATGTGACTCAGCCCTTGTTGAGTCCCAAGTTCCATCAACCTTTCAATGAAACACTTATAATTATGACTTGCTGGAATTGGCTTCTGGAAGTAGATGCCTATTATCAAATTCTTCCTAATTTAAAAATGATTTTTATCATCGAATGGTGTTGAATTTTGTCAAATACTTTATATATATATATATATGTGTGTGTGTGTGTGTGTATATATATATATATATAGAGAGAGAGAGAGAGAGAGAGAGAGAGAGTATAAAATCTCCTTTATCTTCTTAATATGGTAGATTATATTATCGCTTATCATCCTGAATGAAACCCAACTTTGTAGTGATGTATTAGGCTTTTAATATATTGGTAGATATAATTTGCTAACATTTTTTTAAGTATTGAGGGATATTGGTATATAATTTTCTCTTTTGTAATGTCTTCATGTTTTGTATGAGTATACTATCCTCATAAACTGCATTGGGAAGAATTTTCTTCCTTATTTTCAGGAATAATTTATATATCGATATGATTGCTGTTGTTTATATACCTGAGAGTTGGTCACAGAGAGATAGTCAGGACATAAGGACTATGTCTGTTCATTAAATGAGGTCTTTTAGAATTGTTCTGGGTTTACCATAAACCGGTTTCTTATTATCATCCTAGAATATAGGAAGAAATGTTTCCAAGTTAATTTTCCTGTTTTAACTCTGAAGTGGGCAAATAATTCAGAATTTTGAGGTGTTTTTCTGGTCAAGAATGAGAAAACCATGGCTTTAGGAAGGTGATTTGCTTCCACTTTAAAATTAGCTTGAGCTATGGAGGAAATACCAGGCTATGTTTTCAGTCTAGAACCTCGTCACACCCTTTTCAGTTCACACATTTATACAAAGTTGTAGGTATGCTCTGTCTGCTGTCTAGTGGGGAAGGCAGGGAACACAATTCTTTAATTCCTTATGCCTTTTCTTTAAGGCCAGGTCTGAATGGCAGATCCAATTTACATAGGATGTACAGTGTAGCCACTTCCCCAACCAACTACTTCAGAGAATCTGGGAAAGTTTTCAGTTAACCCTTTTTAATTTGGGTAAAGAATTAATCTTTCAGTTATAGCCAAGTTTCAGCAATAACGTATCTCTATGAGATGTATTCATACTTTTACATGCACATCTTTATTTACATCTATATGTACTAGCATATACCAAGTGTTTTATTATGTATCTTTTAAAAAAATCTCCAAAACATAGTTTCAAATAATTTCATAATTTCTACCTTAGGTATGATGCATCATAGTTTAACAATTTCTCTCTTTTTGACAATTACATTCTCCTATTGTTAATATTATAAACAATGCTGCAATGTAGCTTTGGGTATAGTTTTTCACAATTTTGTCAATGTAATTCCATATATTTTATAACAGCTTATTAAGACTAAAATATCTCATCAAAATATCAAAAAAAGTAGCAGTTGGTTTGCTTGTTTATTTGTTTAAAATAATACAACCTCTGACCTTTGTAGAATCTTTTGAAAAAACTGGATGATGACATGGAAGTGATATATATGTGTGTGTGTGGTTCTGCAAGATCTTTTCTCCAGAATAGCTTTGGTTATATTGCTCTATTTTTTAAATATGTTTTTATTGATTTTTAGAAAGAGAGAAAGGGAAAGGGAGAGAGAGATAGAAACATCAATCAGCTGCTCCTGCACTGGGGATGGAACCTACAAACTGGACATGTGACCTGACCAGGAATCAAACAGGTGACCTCTTGATTCATGGATCAATGCTCAACCACTGAGCAACACCAGCCAGGCTATATTGCTCTATTTCACAAAACAGATTTGAAAGC